TTTGGGGACTTCCGAGTTCTCTGAGCGCGTGACGATCCCGATTCCGTATCCGTCCAGTCTGGCAGTGGGGAGAGTCTAACCGCTGAAAACGGGGGGCAAGAGTCGAAAACGCACGGTTGACCGATATGGAATGGGGGCTATTCGGCCAATCGCGTCAGAATGGCCTACAGGAAGCAACCCGGGGTCACTTACGGCGTACGACTCGACATCCGGCTCCCGCATGCGTCCCCGCATATACGGATCGACCGACAGCACCAGCAGCTTGAACAGGAATCCGCCCTTGAGGTCCACGTTCTCGGGATCGATCGTCTCGGATGCATCGTAGACAGTCGTCTCTCCGGGGACCGGGTAGTCTCAGAACGACCCGTCAGGGTTGATGAGGTCGGGCCAGTTGGAGAAGATTGCATACCTTTTGGGATGCTATTGAAGAGGACGCGCGCGTTTGGTGTAGATGTCATGCTCGTGGTAGTGATTTTTGATGAGAGAGAGGTGTTTTCGACAGTCGCGTTCGTCCGCTATTTGTACTAGAGGTGGTTCGAAGACCCATTACGCAGGATGTGACGCTGATGCTCAGGCGGCCGGCGGCTTGCCACTTCTAACCGTGGTGATCTAGCCTCCGTGATGATTTAGCTCTGCGTTCCTGGGACTGGCTGTAGGATGGTTCGCATGAGGTCACAGTCAACATCGAAGTGACGCCATGGTCGCGTTGTTGGTGTGTGTGTACTTGAACGATTATGTAGATTAGATTAGAGTTAAATAGATCAGATAAACTGTATCTCTGAGACAATACCAGCAAGGACTATCGACCTTCAAAGATGCTTTACAGCTGATTTCAAAAGATTGGGCGGGTTCTGTTCGTGTGGAGTGCCAAAAACTTGTTGATACCTGCTTGCTGTAGCATCCATACATCATAATTGTACGCGGTCTGGTGACTGCAACGCACACGGCTCCAAGCTCCAATGCCTCTGCGATAAAGAGAGAATTTTTGAGCTTGAGATGCAAGTCTCGTGGCAATTAACGACGGCCATTATCGCAAACACACCCGGATTGTCAATGGGTGGACTACTCTAGTGGACGCGCCTCAGATCTCTGCACGCACCACAAGATCATAGGCCTGAAGAACCTGGGTTCTTCAGAACTGAGAGGGATTCTCCTCTCAAGCCCAGCCTGATGCGTCGTTGTTGCCCGACTACCCTCCGCACCGAGCGCTCCGAGATCATCAAGTCCGCGGCAATCTGTCGCTGTCGCTGCCGAAGCTGATGAAACTGATAGAGGACAAGTCGTCGATTTTCGAGGAGATACGGGGATTGGTACCCATAGTGAGCTGCGAAGCGGCGACGGGCCATCGGTCCACGGAAATGGGTAGGTGGAGCAAGTGTGGGGTACAGGTAACAGGTACAAAGAACTATCAATAAGTTTTTGGCGCTCCACACGAACAGAACCCGCCCAATCTTTTGAAATCAGCTGTATGCGAGCACCGTGGACAAGTGCCAGTGTTCGGAATCGAAGCCAATGAAATCAACCCACCTCCCAGTAGGAACTAGTTTCTGGTTCTGAACTTAGAAAGCAGACACTGGACAAATATTTATCGACCGGGTTGACCTTTGAGATGCCTCTTTACTTTCTGGGTAGCTTCCATCGTCGCTTTGATTGTAGATTCGATTATGAAATCAGCTCCAGTGTAGTTTACCCATGGGGTAGAAGCCGTAGCATGCCACAACCTTTTCGCCGGGCCGGTGTCCTATTTTTCAGCCATTTTACCGCTTCTAGTGGAGTTAAAGAATGGAAGAGGACGAAGTCTACTGTACTCTTTCGACCGTAGGTTCGCGTCACCGGTCACCAGGCCCTCCGAACCAAACCTATTTTTCCTCTGTCACGGTCACCGGGGGCTCGAACTAAGGGCCGAACTGGTGACATTTTTTGGCTTTTGCTCAAATTACGCATTTGCAGCCATTTTGAGGTCTCTTTCTCATTTTGGGCATGAATGAGCCCCAGAACTCTGAGATTCAGCCAGATTGGGCCTGCAACAGGCAAAATTTTGCTTCAAATCAGTCGAACTTTTGTTACCTAACATGGGTGTCACCGGTCACCGGCCACATCGAATCAATCAAACTTCGAATTATGATAGTCACCGGTCACCGCCGCGAACTTACGGTCGAAAGGGTACAGTAATCAAAAGCTGCCACATGGTCACATTTGTGACCAGAACGGAGAGTTCGTGACCATTTTATCGATGCGGTTTTTACTACCGACTTTAGCCCATGCTCGATCTTTCCTTTGGCTTATTGACGGACCAGGCTGACCAGGTTGCCATGAAATGCTTAGGTGCTGACATCACAGTGTCCGATATGTGTCCGTATCATCTCCATGCGATCACTCGAAAACCGGCCCCACTTGCCGGATCCAGCCGCCTCGCGTTCTTCTGTGCTCTTTATAAAAGACTTCCTAAAGGCATGGTGCGATCTCCTCATCTCCAAACCCCTCACCCCACCGCCCGCAAGGATGCCTGCACTCGCCGATCAGTGGTTCTCCCGCCTCGTCTCCGCCTCGACCATGCCTCCCTCCGCGGGCGACGACCGAGCACACACCGCCGCGCGACTCTTCGAAGACCTAGCGGGCGTCCTGCGTAGCTTCGACTTCCTCCTTGCGTGCTCCCTCCTCGTCTTTTTCGCCCTAGGCGTCGCCCTGTCGTTCGCGTGTCTCTCGGATGTCACGGGGCCGGACGAAGAAGCAGCGGAAGATTGGGGCGGCGGAGAATCATGCGACTCTGATCTCGGGGAGCTGCCGGCGTATTATCTGAGGGGTCGCCCGGGGCTCGGGAGAGAAGCAGCACCGCCGTGGGCGGGGAAGAGGAGGGGCACGCGAGGCCGCGGCGATGGGATGTGGGCCGCACCGATCCCGGTGGTCCTCTCCTCGATTCTCGACATCCCATACCCACGCAATCGTCGTCGCCAAACCCTCCGCGATCTTGGCTCCATGTGGAGGCGTGAGAGCCGGCCGCATCGTCGCATGGTCATCGGGGCGGGTCACCCGAGACTGCAGCGAGAGGAAGTCACGCTGGCGCACTCTTCCTCATTAGCTTGCATACACCGCACTAGCCCCTTCCACTGCCAGCTCCAAGTCACCCTTCCCCTTTGCAACGCTCATGTATACTGTGTATCACCCACCCGACTTACCGCTCGCGCGCTGTACTGTATCGTCCTCCCATCCCTTTTGTACACCGTGTATCTTTCTGCCAGTCGCGCATGTAACCACTCGCTACCTTGCGTATTCGATGATCCCGATCGGGGATGTACCTGGCTGTACATAATGTATTTTTCTTCTAGGTTGTATCGACGATCATGACGTCAGAAGCCCGCTCAAAGTAGCCGACTTGCCCGATGATGGCGGATCCTTCGTGCGAAAGCACAAATTGTGTTCGGCGGACTCCTGGAGTCGTAGACCGACCGTATTAGACAACGCAGAGCACAAGCAAATTGAAAGATGGGCGCTGACCGCAGAGGGATCAGCGTATCGAAAAACCTGCATCTGTTGGACCCAATGATAACTTTTCCAATCTCTCTGCAAAAGAACCCACCATCCGGCGAATGAGCCCCTTGAAAACTATCCGCCTGCAGATTTTAGACGGGGATCTGGCTGATCACGGCGTGTCCGCACTTGATATACTGTCTTGATGCGACAGTACTTGATACAGTTGCGGATGTGAACCGCCGAATTAAAAAATTGACGACTGAAATGATACGTTAGCCTTGCGAGTAGCAGAAATCCCCGCGTCCTCGATCAGCTAGACACCTTCTAAACAAATTCAATCTTTGAACAAACTGAAATCCAAGGGGCCGCCTGGCTTGGACAGTCCGAAACTACGAACGCCTTACGCTCTATGGGTGGCACAGGTTCTACGCTGCCGATCTCCAGACCTAACTCATAGAGGATCCTGGATGAGAGCTCTCAAAGCCCTTGTGCGCCTTGTTCCCGTACATCGCTCGAATGGCCTACTCTCGCCACCGTAATGATACCTATCCGGGCTCCTCCACAGTTTAGCCTTGCTAGTGTCTCTCAGAGGGTATGTCCGACCTGCCTGTGACGAATCCGAGGGCTCGGGACTCTATGGGGTCCTGCATCGAGACCAGTTGTGCGATGCCATGCACTCCTCTCTATAGAAATTTTTGCGGTCAGTGTCATTGGACAGCGTGTGTGCATCCAAGCTTCTTGAATTGGAGATTCAGCGATGTGTCGGGAGATCCGATAGCTCATGATCCTCGTCGTGAGAAGGTCAGACCATGAGCTAGCACGCCTCCATTTGAGATGACTTTGCCCGACACATTCCCGGACCTATCCGCTGAATGAGGGAGACGTAAAGAGAAGAGCTCGAGCGGGTCACGTCGGCGGACGCGGTGTGGCATAAGGAGGCTGCATGACCACTGGCTTGTTCCGCCACTGGCCGCACGTTTGCCCAAGGATCCATCTTCTCCTCCGCTAGGCCACAACGACGAAGAACACAGTGTCCTTGTTCCAGCCCACCGCCAGAAACATCCGCTAGAAACATCTGCCGAACGAGTTGTCGAAAAGCTCCCTGAGAACATCCACAAAAATCCACAAAACCACAAGCCGGGCAAATGCAGACGGTCCAGATATCGAGTGTCCAGTCAGGATCTTCGCATGCTGTAGAGACTGAGGGGTCGGACATACGAATCGAGGAGGGCAGCATCAATGTGGCAGGAACTGAGGAGAGGAGGGTGCCGTGGAGTTCCTCGCGTGATCATAGTCCTTCAGTTGAGAGCTGCATGGCAGAAGGGTCGGGATGTATGGAGGCCGGGAACTATATGCTGATAAACGGAGGACGTATCACTGATACGCGATAGTTTGCCGACATAGGATCAATTTCATGATGCGCTCCATGTCATGATGCGCCTGTCTGGACGGCTGAAAACGTTATACTAATAACCGATGTCTGAATCGTGGATGGCCGCTCGGCAGATATTGATCAGATGATTGACGCAATGATCAAGACCCCAGGTAGCCGACTATCGCAATATCGCAACATCGTAATATTCGAAAAGCGCAACATTCGAGATAGGATCAGCGGCCGGGTCGCCGGCGCGAGCAGGCTCGTCGCAAGTCCGGACTCCCAGGCGACATTCCAGGGCAGCGGTTCGTACGTCGTGTTCGACTGGGGAAGGAGGTGCGCGGCCTCCCTGATACAGCGCCGTCGAGGGTCAATTCACACACCCATACTGTAGCTTGGGGGGATCCTGTCGCTGACGATCAACAACGCGACGGCCCGGTCGCAGTTCTCACTGTCGTTCACCGAGTCCGCGGAGTTCATCAGCCCGCTCAAGTTGGACGACTCGTGCCAGCCCGCACGGCTGCAGAACTGGGACAGAATCCAGACGTTCCACGTGCCGCGAGCCACGGGGCTGCTGACGCAGACCGTGGGACAGCAGCGCGGCGGGTTCCGCTTCCTGACGATTGTGAGTGCGAGCGCGGACCGCTGACGATCTCGAACATCTCGCTGGCGATCACGTTCATGCCCCACTGGGATGATCTCAGGGCGTACCCGGGCTACTTCTTTGCACCTGACCCCGGGTTCCACGACATCGACTTCCTCACGAAGATCTGGTACGCCGGTGCGTCATCGCCTGTTTGCTGGCTGATGTGGCAGAGCGTGGCGTGGGTGGGGCTGACCGCTAGCAGGCACTATAGGGTGCAGACCAACACAATCCCTCCCCACACGGCGCGACAGGAGCCGTGCCCAGCAGGAGGTTCGTGTCGGCGTGGATCTGAATTTTGGACTCAACTGTGCGATCACATTTGTAGGTGGCTGGTCCAACGATGCCTTGGGAGGAGCTGCCACTGGGCCTATCCTCGTCGATGGTGCAAAACGCGACAGGTGAGGAATGGTCGGTCGCGATCTGTGTGTGCAATCCCTGCTGATGACATTGGTACTGTCAGGAACATCTGGCCAGGTAACCCCTCATGCTCATGGACGCGATCTAACCCTCGGACTCATGCGACGGATCAGGCGACTGCGGCATCTCCACACACACGGAGCTCGTCGCGCTGAGCGACATGGAGCCGACCAAGAACTCGTTGATGGTGATGTTCCGCACGCAAAACCTGACGACTGGCGCGCTGCAGTACTCCGGGCCGCCGCTGAACAACCAGGGAAGCGACACGTACATCTCGTGGTCGCTCATTGGGACGCACAACTACTTCCTGTACACGGGCGACCTCGATTTCATCAAGTCTGTCTGGGCGAACTACACCAAGGCGGTTGGCTTCCTTGAGGGCCAGGTGGACTTGACCGGCCTGATGAACGTCTCGTCTGCGCTCTCGAACGACTGGGGCAGGGCCAGCGGCGCCGGACACAACTCTGCGGCAAACGCGTTGCTTTATCGCGTGAGGATTGATTTCTGTCTCTCGCATCATGTATCCGCGCTCATCAAGCTCGTAGACGCTCGTCACCACGGCGGACCTGGCGACGCATCTCGGCAATGTCTCCCTCCCCGCCACATACCTCGCCAACGCGACCAAGATCAAAACTGCGTTCAACAGCCTGCTGTGGGACGCCGCGGCGGGCCGGTTCCGCAGCAACGACCTGCCGAGGAGCATCCACCCGCAGGACGGCAACGCGCTCGCGGTCCTGTACAACCTCACGACATCGGACGCACAGAACAAGGCCGTGAGCGCCGGCTGATGAAGTTCTGGACGCCCATCAGGCCGTGGCTTCGAGGTGCGTGTTGCGCTGGTGGTTTGTGGTTTGCGTGTCACCTGCGCGACAGATCCAAGCGCATTTTGTGGCCGGCAAGGGCGAGCGGGCAATTGATCTGATCGAGCGCGAGTGGGGGTACATGCTGGAAACCAACTTGAGTGTCAAGTCGCCGCTGCTAGAGGGCTTCTCGGCCAACGGATCGCTCGGGTGCGTGTCGTATCAATCAGCTGCGGCAAGCTGTTGGTCCTGATCTGTACGCATGGTTCTCGGATGAGGAAGACTCCCGCGAAAATGATTAGTGAATTACAGTAATTACATGCTCACTACGCTATCTCGAATATTACACTATCTTGAATGTTGCGCTTTTCGAATATTACGATGTTGCGATATTGCGATAGTCGGCTACCTGGGGTCTTGATCATTGCGTCAATCATCTGATCAATATCTGCCGAGCGGCCATCCACGATTCAGACATCGGTCATTAGTATAACGTTTTCAGCCGTCCAGATAGAGCGCATCATGACATGGAGCGCATCATGAAATTGATCCTATGTCGGCAAACTATCGCGTATCAGTGATACGTCCTCCGTTTATCAGCATATAGTTCCCGGCCTCCATAGGATGAGATGCCTGACGAAGGGACTTGAAAAAGATGTGGTTGTGAAGCGGTGAGAAAGACGGGTCAAATCGGACATCGACCTTATTTGACAGGTTGGACTCGGCAAACACTTGATAACTGCTTCCCTCCTCTCGCTGCCAGCACAGAAGCCATGACAGCAAGTGGAACTGGCGGAATCATGCTTCTTGGTCGTAGCCACAATCGCGCCTCGAAATATCAAAGCGTCAAGACAGTCCGATAATCCTCTATTAATATTGACATATATGCAAGTACAGTAATCTCTAGCACTCAATTGACTTCTTGTGAAGAGGCATACCCAGGAGTCCCACGCTCTGCGAGTATCATGCTCTTGGCTTTACCTCCCTCAGGCTCTCCTTCCGGGATGCATCGCGCGGGCCAGATGATGCAGAACAACGTCATCGATATCCATAGGGGGAGCGCATCCAGCAGGTAGAAAAACACCTCGTGATTGGCCACGTAACCGCGATACCTGGCGAGCGTTTTATCAACTTAAGCATGAGTTTCACAGAGGTTAGATGGAAACGCACCCTCCGGCAAACTCGACGATTCGAAAAACGGACCGCGTGAGGATCCCGAGGCAGGTCAGGTAAAGGATGTAGATGAGGATGCGCCAGTCTTGGATTGGCTCGGTCGAGAGCAGTCTGAAAGCTCCCCGCGAGTTTGATGTTGAGTGCCAGATGTGGGGAAATGGGTGGCCCTGTAAGGCTGAGCAAACGGGCGCAGGAATCGGGGTAACAGCAACTCACAGCCGCCACGAGAAGACGATCAGAAGGACTGTGAAGAGCCCGAATGAAAGCGCCTGGAGAACCAACCCGGCCAGTGCAATCTGTGCACATTATATCATGAGTATCTGACCAGATATTGAAGGATCCCAGGAACCACGCACATTGCTACCAAGCTTGGCCGTGTTCGCGTTCTTCCCGGCACTGAGCGCGCCTCCGGTGCTTTGGATGAGGAACGTCAACACGTCGCTGTAGACGAAGATATGCGTGATCCGGCTTGGCCGGATGAGCAGGCAGCGCGAGACGACCTCGGTATGGAAGGTGGCGACCAGGCGAGAAAATAGCACGTAGTCGGTGACGAGGAACAGACAGGGCTGGAGCTCAGTTTGTTACGCGACCCATGAGCATGCAGCTGAGGGCACGTACGGAAAGCAAGATAAACTGGATTTTAGTCAGTATAAGTCGCGCAGATCGATTTTCGACGTACGAGGTCCATGACAATGTACTTGCCCAGCGTGTGCGATCCAAGGGCATAGACGATTCGTAGGATAAAACCGAGAGCCATGGCTGCAAGCAATGAAGTGAATGATATCAGAAGTCGACCAATGCTCATCGAAACTTCTCGTACCGGACATGCCAATCGTCAGACTCAACGTGAACTTGCGGCGAGGACGTGCGGTGAAGTAATCTGGATGAACAGTGAGCTTAGACTCTAGTGCACTGGATGAAGAGCGCGTACATATCCAGTGAACGATGCCAGAGATCCCGAAGAGTGCAACACCGATCGCCGCGAGAGGGATCTGGTACCCGAGAGATGTCAGTCAACTTGTCGAGAACGATTCCTATGGGTGGGACCGCCTTTGGGACATATCCACCCCTTTTCCAAGCTGTCAGATTGGAACACGAAAAAAAAAGACAACAGTGCTCACGGAACGCGAACAGAGTTGGTGCCCCCAGTCACAGCCAGGCTCGCCACGTCAATGCGGGGGACGATCAGACCGTCCGCTGAAGAACGGGATGCATGATCGTTGGATATCAAGGACGCCAGTCCGAGGTAGATAAGAGAAGCCATGTGCAGTTATTTCTCTGGAGGAGAGTTTCGTTTCTGATACTCGAGCCCATGGTCCAACGTCTGCGCGTAGAGATATCAATTGGTCATCTGCGTGGCATCAGCAACACAGCCCTGATAGAGATGCTACAGCTTTTTGGCGTGTGAAACGTGGTCGCGGGTTCCGCAGCAGATCTTAGAGCAAAATCACGGGAGAGATGAAGTTCCTGTGCCTGGCAGTGGGTTGTCGGTGGCACAGAGCAACTGCACGTGATCGCGTTTGTGAGCGTCACACTCCCATTGTCGGTGACGGATCTGTGACGCGGTTCTCTTTGTGCTCTTTGACCGGATTGAGAGAATACTCTGGAGCTGGTGCAGCTCAAAATGGCCATTTACCGGATGAATAACTCGACACCATCGCCCGAAATGTCTTTATGTGCTTCTTTCAAACGGGCTACAAAACGAAGCGATCGGACTGACACTCTTTCCCCCAACTCCCCCTGCGTCTCCTGTCTTTGTGCTCCTTCAACACGCGACGCATATGCGCTATGGATGAAGACGTCGACATAACACCTCCACCCGAAATCTCGCTGCTAGATGCCGACCCGAGTGAGTGCGCTCTCCTCCCCGTCCACCGTCGAATAACTCGCCCGTTCCAGCCCCGACCATGCACCGTCGTCGGCAACGTTCTGCGATAATCTATGCGCCGCAATCGAGGCGGAGAAAGACGCGACGCAAGAGCAGGAGGCCACGCTGAGCGATACGCCCGCGACGCCGCTTCGCACTGCTGCTGCCCTCTCGAGCAACCTCGACCCGCCACAGACACCAGAAGAAGGCTCGCCTGAGCGATCTGCTGCTGCACCCGGCACGCTGCCGCCGCGCTCGCCACTCCTGTCGACCCAGCCCTCCACCCCGCGCCACCGTGTCGTCAGCGCCGGCACCGCAGATTCGTCGCCTTTGCGGGGGACCGAGAACACGCCCCGTCTGACTCTCAGACCCCTTCACCCGCGAAACGCGGTCGTGTCTCCGGCACCTCTCAATACCAGGAGTCGCCGCTGTCTCGAAAGGCTTGCTGCGCAGAGCTGGCTGGTGAGTGCGTCGATGAGGACACGCTATCAGACGAGGAGCAGAAGAAGGAGCCGGTCACCATTGACTGCGGATCGGTGGAAGTAGATGGACTTGCGACACAACCCTTGGGACGGACATGGGAAGCGCCACTGATGTTGCGGAGGAACCCGACGCACAGAGCGTTTCATTCGATCCGAGTGCTCTCGGCGTCATCTGCGCCTACGACGAAGATTTCGTAACGCATATTGCACCCCCAGAGCACGACTCTGAGTCGCTGCTGCCCAGCTCCAGCGCATCTCCACTGCAAAGTCTATTCGGGTCATCGTGTGAGGGTCTCCCCAAGCGCTTAGTGCTCCCGCCACAGCGAATGACGGGGAGGCGCTCGAGGACGAACTCGAAGTGCTCGATGCGTTAGAAGTCAGCTCGGCGTCGGATAGCAGCAGCACTTGCGATGTCCAGGAGGAGGAAGAAGAATCGGGCACGTCGCTGCTCGCTATAGTTTCCGAGCTGGCGCTCTGGAGTGCTAGTGCGGTTTCGGCTTTCTTCGCACGAAAGGTTGTGGCGGACCCAAACCCTGGCGGTGGGATGGAGACGTCGAGGAGATTGACGTGGTGGTAATGGTGGTAACGGCGGTGAGTGGCGGTGCTAGACAGCGACGAGGCGCTGGCGTTGGTCGATGGTTTTGCGCTACGCTGATGGATCAGGTACCGCGCACC